CATAAATTAAAAAATAAATATGCCCAGCAGCACGTGAACGTCTCACTGTGGTTAGACTCGCCCCCCCCCCCCCCCCCCATCGCACAAATGTCGAATATTCACGACCAGGTTCAGGGCTGCCAACAGGATATAAGCTCCACGTCAGCGCTCATTCGGGCAGAAACATCACCGAGTCCCGAGTCGTAGTAAACGCCACGGAGGTGCGGGCGAGGAAGTACACCTTGCGAGTGGCCCTCAGTGGCATGACTCGTGAGCAGTCAAAAGACCGCCCGACCTCCCTTCTATCACCGAGACGATCACGGAGGTGTTTTCGACCAACGATGGCGACTTCTCGTTAAATGTCGCACCTCACGAGACGCTGCGAAAAACAATAACAGCAGCAGCAGCAAACAATAACAAAAAAAACGATATCGTTTAAAAAAAACTATTCTGGAGTTCTTTAAAAACAAAAACAAAACGATCGTGTCCACACAAAGCGGTAATGAGAAACCGTGTGATCCTCGCAGTAAGAATCGATTGTTCATCCGTGCTCGTGATCACCGCGAAGAACCGTAGCCGCCACACAGAGCTTGGAAAGTTTCATTTTACATCCGCCTCTATCGTCGTTCCTCTCTGCCCCACGGTCATGTTTTTGTTTATTATTGTCGGGGTTTTTTTTTCTTTTTTTTGGGGGGGGGGGGGTTTGGGAACACAGCATGTTTGCAACAAGCTGAAAAGGGCTTAAGGGCTAAAGATGCTGACTGGGCGCATTTTCTCTGTTTATCTCCATAATCCTGCTACATGGGTATTGCTGGAGGGCAGCCAGAAGCCGCCGCCGTCGTAGGCAGGCCAGGAGAATGCGTCACGGCCGACGTGAGAGGCATCTGTGCACGGGAACACGCGGGGCGATGCGCTCACACCAAAACAACTACAAAGATCATCTGTATAACCTGAACAGACTGTTGGGGCAAGTGCTGTTAGCAAGTCGCACCTAAGAAGCCCGACACGGCACAGGAGGGGGTGGTTGGCAAGTGCCATGCCCGGTCGCCTTTGTCTCCCCAGTGGCGATGTTTACACACCGCACCAGGTACACATTTGAGACTGAGTCGACCTAAGGGAGGCCCAGCACCGGTTCAGATAATCGTCACCGGTTTAGCCCGTGAGTGGGAATCGAACTCGGGCCGCCAGGTTCGTAGCGCAGCGTAGCGCTACCCGCTACACTACCGCTCCACCCACACGTATGCACACACCACGACACACAGACACACGTGTTTGTTTATACCAACTACTGCAGCCCTCTTTTAACTTCAAGGCAACATCCAAACAACAGTGATAATGATCCTTTGTTTACCCAGCAAGAGTCTCAAGGTTTAACTTGTCTCACAAGGCTCATGCTTGAGATGTTTGGAAAACAGTGACATGGTGGGGTCGTTGCGACATATATTTATCTATGTATCAGAATCTTGAGAAATAAAGCTCTTTTTTTCAAAGATGTCCAGTAGGGGCACGGGGTCAGAACGTTACATCAATATCAAAACATGCTAGGAGTGCAAAGTATAGGAAAGGTAAATAAATCAGTTAAAAAATAAATATAAACTTTCTTTATCTTACCCAGGTAAAACCCACTGAGCTATGAGCTTATTTTTCAGAAGAGACCTGGCCACAAATGATAACTCAACGAAGTGGCTCATCAAGTGGAAATTGATAGCAGTCAAATATTCGAAATGCGTGATGTTCATTCGAAATGTGGAGGGAGAAACCCTTTTCCTACCAGTATAACAGGACCTGGAGAAAAATCCACGCGACCACAGGGAGAACACGCAAACTCCACATATACAGCAGCAGGCGTCAGGGTAGGCATCGAGCGCATGACCTCCTGCACACCAGGCGAGGTGGTTAACATCTCGCCACCGTGGCACCTTTTACCATCCACTTTCTTCCAGTAACACATTCCTGCGGAGGGAGCTGGTAGGAACGTTGGGTTGCTCGGTCAATGGCCAGGGTCATTGATCGGCGTGAGTAGGTTAAACGTTGAGTTTTATAAGGGCACCAAGGGGTGACCAGCCCCTCCCCACCCAGCCCCAACCCTCCCACCCCCCACCCAGCCCCACCCTCCCCACCCCCTCCCCACCCTCCCCACCCAGCCCCTCCCCACCCTCCCCACCCAGCCCCTCCCCACCCTCCCCACCCTCCCCACTCATCCCCAACCACCCCACCCAGCCCCTCCCCACCCTCCCCTCCCCACCCAGCCCCTCCCTCCCTACCCAGCCCCTCCCTGCACGACGGACGGACACAATAATCCCCTGTGGGCTGGTGTAACCTGGCGGTTCCTACCAGTATAACACACCACGTAGTGCAGTGTGTTCTGTTTAGGTAACCTGGATTTAACTCCTGGCCAAGCGCACCAGTGACGATGCGAGCCTCTAGATTTGAAGTTTTCGTGACTGCAAGGGTCCATGCCCTTTGATTTTTTCCGGTAAAGTCACGTAGGTAAAAAATAAAATAAAAAATAAATAAAATCACGACGTTTCGGAGGCAACACAAGCTTCCGTCTTCAGGTGGCACCGTCACAGCAAATAATGTTGCCGTGTTGCCTCCGAAACGTCGTGATTTCATTTTTTTTTTATTTTATTTTTTACCTACGTGACTTTACCGAAAAAAAACAAAGCGTATGATGTGAGCCTCGTCAATCTAATGTTTGTATTGACAGAGTGCCTTCACTCGAGGAGCTTGACATCGCTTACCAAACGGTGACAGAATACAATTGATTTGCAGCACAGTTTTATGCTAAGCTATTGATTCCTGCAGTTGTATTTGACACGTTTACTTTTTCCTGCAGCTATAATTTGTTTTACTTTGAATGGTTTATAAAATACATTTTGTCGGAGCCAACGTTTGTTCCTCTTTATGTATTTTGTGTAACATTCATGATGTTCCCGCACTGCTTTCAATTTCTTGTGTAATGCCGTTCCATTTGCTTCTCTGTTACACGCACTTTTTTTTACGCGATTACTTTGATTTTTTTACTTTTATTTTTTTTGGTGAGCCAGGTCACTGTTGAAAAAAATTGACTCTCCTTGTCTCTTCGAGTTCTCGCCTGGCTCAACAATATCTACCTGAAACTCGACTCGGGCAATAATAGCGAGCACGTCACGCAACGTGTCCTAAGTCAGCACTCGAGACTACAAAGCAAGTCAGCAAATTACTCAATTGGGACCACACGTGGCAATAATTGCCTCCTGCTGGCAGCCTCATGGCCCACATTGCTCTTGGCAATGAGATTTCCCCGGCCTCATGAGTTCTGATCTGGTTAAAACAAAATCAACTTGAACCGAAGATGCGGGCCCCAGATCGCTACGCATGCTGTGCGGGCCTCTACAGAGGCTTCCTCTCGACCTCGTCATGATAGCTACCGTGCCTACGTACCTGTAATTAATGGGATCACCATTGTGAAATATATGGAAATCCAATGGGCGTTAATGAAAATAAATCCCATGTCGTGCTGATACATTGTACTGCATGTCACATTGTTTCAGTGGCAATAATTATTTTTATAGTTCATCGATATTACTGCAACCAAACCCCTAATTAAACGCCTCCTTTGCCATGCATTCAAACTGAACAACCTTCCTCGTCCACACACGTATTAATGTCTCCCATTTCTTTCTCAATAAACACCGAGGTCAAAAGGTCACCAATTCCGGTTGAAAAACAAAAACAGCGAAAATTAAAGTGAACGCCCAAATGACACTTTAGTTTCACAGTGGAATTGCTCAGTGTGATCCGGTTCAACGCCTCACTTCTACGAGTCTGTGCAGTGTATCCCGCGTGCGAGCCGTGCCAAAAATCTTTCTCTTTGCCAGATTCCTTTATTACGGCACAGTCAACACCTTCCGTCCGAGGCCTGTTGAGCATTTCCCCCACAATAAAATTGCATTTCCACCTTATTTGGCCCAGCCCTATCTCTGAAGGCCAACATCGATAATAAATATTTGTATTCTACCAGGTAAGAAGGAGGTCCAGTGAGCTATGTAGTTCTCAGAAGCGACCTGGACACAAATGATAGCTCAAGGAAGTGACTTATCACGTGGAAATATATAGCTGACAAATACTCTAAACGCGTGTTGATGCTAAATGTGGAGGGAAAAGTTCTGGAGGAAAATCCACGCGACCACGTGGAGAAAGACATGAAAACTCCAAATATACAAGCATCAAGGGTGGGGATTGAACCCATGCGCTCCTGCATACCAGGCGAGGTAGTAAACATCTCGCCACCGTGGCGCCATACAAAAGGCCGATGGGAAAAGAAAAAAAAGTTATTCACGAGGCGTAAAAGGGGCAGCGACAAATCTCGGTTAAGAGGGACCTCATCAAGCGAATCCAGAAGTAGCTCTGTGGTGTCTCTTGCACTGCCATTCCCTGATGCGGCGACACTTTCCTTCACCGAAGGAGTTTAACAGGAACCTTTCTCTGCTCCCTGGCACAAGTCCAATAGTGCAATTCGGATAAAATTGGCGATGCACTCTCAAACAAATATTGACGGGACAACAACAAAAACAATGCACCTGCATTTGCAGTGGGCTGACCGCCGTTGCCAGGAAACATCGTCCAATTCCCCTGCTGGAACGTGGGGAGAGTCAACTGACACGGTCTGGCAGTACAGAGGATCACGGCTCAAGTCCAGCGGCCACCCTGATTAACGCTGCGGGTGTACCGAGAGCGATCGCGCTGGGCGCGATCAGCTCCGCTGTGGACGTTCAAAGGTACCACGACATCGCTCGCACGAGAGGAGAGCTGCGCCACGGTCAACATTTGTCAAATTTGGAAAAATGACCCACAAACCACTCAAGTCGAATCTGCATTTCAATCATTACCCCACCCCACCCACCCTCCCCCCCGCTGCAAAAACGTGGCAGTACTCTCTTGAGAAAGAGTCGTGAGACTCGGTGAGGCATTCCCGGGTAAACAAGCGTAACAACATGAACAATTAAATGAGTGTTGCCGTTTGCGGTTGCGTGTACCTGTACATGATGTGTGAACCTTGCCATTCTTCTTGAACATGCCGCCACTGGGTCCTGTGTGAACTCTGCAGAGTGATGTGGGAGTGACCCCCACGTGTCCTGTGTGACCTCTGCAGAGTGATGTGGGCATGACCCCCGCGTGTCCTGTGTGACCTCTGCAGAGTGATGTGTGCGTGACCCCCACATGTCCTGTGTGACCTCTGCAGAGTGATGTGGGCGTGACCCCCACGTGTCCTGTGTGAACTCTGCAGAGTGATGTGGGCGTAACCCCCCCGTGTCCTGTGTGACCTCTGCAGAGTGCTGTGAGCGTGACCCCCGCGTGTCCTGTGTGAACTCTGCAGAGTGATGTGGGCGTAACCCCCACGTGTCCTGTGTGACCTCTGCAGAGTGATGTGGCCGTGACCCCCACGTGTCCTGTGTGAACTCTGCAGAGTGATGTGGCCGTGACCCCCACGTGTCCTGTGTGAACCCTGCAGAGTGAAGTGGGCGTGACCCCCGCGTGTCCTGTGTGACCTCTGCAGAGTGAAGTGGGCGTGACCCCCGCGTGTCCTGTGTGACCTCTGTGCCTGCCTGAGCGTCTGGTCTGCGTGTCGCCGTGTGCAATGTGTGCGTGCTGCTGGTTCTTTGGGAGTTTCGTCTGGACTTTGCCGTGGCGGTGTCTTCTGCAACTTTCAGCGCTGTTGGACACACAAAAATAAAACCCAAAAGCAGATGAGCTTCACGGTATGCACAGGTTACATTGAGTACAAGTTACTCGGGTTTTGTAGTCACGCGATGATGTTGCAAGGAACAATGTTGTTGCCTGTGTCACATTCAGTTTTGCAACAGCACGGGTAACATGCACCCTCACTGGCCGGGCGGGTTCACGCGGTGATCATAAAGATTTTCGTTCCCCTTATGACCGTCATACTGAATGAGAAAAAAAAAACTGTTCTGACCGTTGTCGCATGGACGTATGCCCTGACGTCAAGGCATACGTCCACGCGACGTCACCCACATCCCAGAGTGGTGAGCCGGCTTCATGCGTCACGCTGACGTGACGCTGGCATCACGCCTTCCCCCGGCCCTCCCAAACCACCAACCCTCCATTCGAGGATCCCGCACAAGTGCGGGACAGCAGAGCGGCAGAGGGAAGTGAGCGGCGAGGGGGGTAGGTAGAGGAGGGAGGAAGAGACGGAGAGGAGAGAAAAGGCGTGAAAGGGGGAGGAGGAATAAGAGAGAGCAAAACAGAAAGAGGAGAGAGCGAGAGAAAGCCGCAAGCGGTGGGAGGGATGACGAGGGAGAGGCAAGCGAGATTGAGATGGGGAAAAGGAGAGGAGGAAATAAGGAGGGTGAGAGGTGAGAGAGAGAAACAGGGAGATAGGGGTAGGGAAATGGGTGAGACACAGGGGAAGGAGGAGAGGGGACAGAAGAATCGAGAAACAGACAGACACAGACAGGGCTCGATATAAGAATACAAGTTTTGCTGGCTGGCTGGGAGGGACAGATGGACGTTCAGAAGACATGCGGTTTGCTGGTATTTTAAATTTTAAAAATGCATTAACGTGTCTTTGTGAATGTGAATAATAAAATTAACTTTTTGTTCATTTTAATCATATCCGATTATTTTTGCCTTAATTACTCTTCTTAAATGCTTTTTTCGGAGGCTGAATAGGCCAGTGGTCTTTCCTTGCCGAGATCTCGTGCTGGGCTCCCGAGAACGAACATACTGTAGCATAACCTGTCTCTATATGTTTCTCGATTAATAACGCACACCCAATATATACAGATGAGCTTTCAAGTTCAAACTAAGCCTAACATTTTGACTAGTGTGACATTTTTAAGTAATTAATTCCCAAGCACATTTTTTATTTTACTGGGGCAGCCATATATACATGCATTAAACAAAGCACGCACGCGCGCACACACCTTCAAGAGACATAAGCGCTCTACTTAATTAAAATCCCGTAAAAAGGATGCACACGTGGGTTTAATATTGCCTCACTAGCAGATGTAGCCCCGGCGAAAGTTAACGTAAATTGCACGGCAACAGCCTCACTCAGATTTCAATTAACTCTGTTGGCCGCACCTGGCATCCCAGTGAGGCTTTGCAAATCCAGAGGTAAGTGGCTTCTTCCCCCCCACCACCGCCCTCTTCGGCTGACTGCAATCGTTGGTGGCTCGTTCCTGAGGGACAAGCCGTGATTAAAAGTCTTAGTTGAAGCCTGGCTGCGCACGTGCGCGCCGTTCCGGCTGCATCCACGTTTCGTGTTGGCTTGGCGTTGCAAAACCACGGGGGGGGGGGGGGGGGGAGGGGGGCCGTACGCCTAATGACATCTTGAATTCGTCCAACAAAAAATTCAGTTTCAACAACTTTGGCGAGACTTTTTTTGTTTCTGTTAGGAAATTGACAATGGAAACATTTGGGAGCCTCCAAAAAGTGCGTCGTGTCCTTGAGGGCGTGTGACGGGCTGCGGGGCGAAACGTAAAGTTCCGTTTGCACGAGACACCACTTATACACTCCCAGCGTTCGTATTCTGTAACACAGGCGGATAGAGAAAGGCACGAACTTTTTAAATTATTTTACAGTTTCAATTATTTTACAGTATTTGGCTGCATTAAATTGGCGTGTGATAAGCCACTTCGTTGAGCTATCATTTGTGGCCGGGTCGCTTCCGGAAAAAAGCTCATAGCTCAGTGGGCCTTACCTAGTAAAATAAAAATAGGTAAACATTTTCTTACCTTTCCTATACTTCTCACTCCTGCCGTGCTTTTGCATTGGTTGTTGTTGTAAATTTCTGACGCGCTCCTACTGGGCATCTGTGAAAAAGAGCTTTATAGCTCATCGGATTCCTCCTGCAGTATAAATACAATTCTGAATGGGTGCTCGCGGGCCCGATTAGCGCAATTCAATTGTCAAAATTAGCCCCAATTACGTCTCGTGAATGAAACGTGCGGTGTTGTCCACCTTTAACCAAGTATTGCGAAGGCGTGATTGCCGAATCGAACGGATTCCATCCATTACCATTATCATGAGTGCAATTATAATGTGCTGTGAGGTGACCATGAGATGGCAGAAATGCTAAATGGATACCCGAATCTATCTGTGCGGATTTTTTATTTTATTTTAACCTCGCAGAGTTTCGGGCACTGGATCCCACAGCTCTCAGTGCGCCGTGACGTAACGTGCGCTCGACGCGTGCAAAAACAAAGGGCCATCATTTTCAATGGGATCAAAATCGTCGTCTTTTGAGGTCATGTGTGGCCAAAAAAACCCCACCCAAAGCGAACGTCGTCAAAGTCGGTGGGAGGCCTCATATACCGAGGGACAACAAATGTCACTGGGATACGTCTCCTCTTCCTCACGCTGTGCGCGACACAACGGCGGCCCCCTTTGCTAAATGTGCCGACGTGCCCATGACTGACGCCGTGTGGCATCGCACGCATAATGAAAGACTCCACTCACTCTTCATTCCACGCTGTCGCAATGTGGAACGTATCGTGCGCGATCCATCACCAAAAGAGGGTGATCTATGTACCCATCTTCAATATTTGCATACCAATTACTCTGCACGCATCCGTTGCAAGAGGCTCATTCCATCATCGGAAGTGCCCCCCGCAACTGACAGCAGAGTGACGGGGCACATCTCTGCGGTGAGACGGCATTCGTGCTTCCAGTGGTGTCCATTCAATGAGCCTTTCTACACACCAAACAATAGCAGCTCCGCATAGCTGCGACGGAGACGCCGCGTGCGTCCATCACAGCGCATGCCACACAAGGCGCCACCGATTGCTGAGGTGTGAACGCCAGTACACAGGAAATGAACGTGCGGGCAGCCACAGCAGCTCGTTGCAACTGAAGCCAGCTGCAGAGCTCTGCGGCGGGTTCGGGTGCGGCAGGCTACCCTGGTTAACACTGCGGGGGAGCGTTGACCACGAAACACCGCAACGCACCGTCTGCTTCACAGGCGGCGGCAAACCCCGACGGGCGCAGGTTGGGAAAGCGCGAGGAGGAAGTCATCCGGAGCCGGTGTCACAAGAATTTTTTTTTTTTTACTAAATTCGAAAGATGGGCCGCAAAATTACTCAATTAGGAGTGCACGCACGGCAACATTGTCCCCCACCTCCTGTGAGACCACTGCAGGCCGTGGATAAAACACAGCGCCTCCTTCGTGATAGCGCTTGCACTGTGACAGTGGTTCGAAATAGCACGTTGTTATTTCTATTATTTATAAGATCACCACGTAAGCGACACACCTAACCGACAGAGCAGAGAAGTGACGAGTAGATGGCGGCGCAATAAGGATGCTGACATTATCCGTATGGATATTTTGTTACCCAATTATGCGCTCCGTTTCCTCCAGAGTGTCCATGGATTGGCCAGGCACCCCAAGCGTGGCCCTATCCCTGCTCCATCTGAGCCTTGATATTCAGACGAAGCTTTGCACGGTAAACAGAAAGACTACTTCATGTTACAAGCTAACATTTTTTGGGGGAAATAAAAACGAACTTTGATCCGTACATCTGTGAGGCTTCTACGTGAATGGTGAATGGTAGTCATTGAGCAAGCAAGGCACTGTCGGGCTGGTTTCACTTTCCTAGTTCGTATCAGCATGGTGTGGCGGTTTTGCCAGAGCAACAAAAAGTCAATTTCCAAAGTGGCAAGAGTGTTTTGTAAACACGAAAATTTTATTTTGCTGCCTCAACAAATCATTTTAATAACCAAGTGCACAAGGTTTGGTATAAGTGCTGACTGGATAAATTATTCCATCACAGTGCATTGCTTTGCACAGTATAATTTATTTCGCACTTGTATGCCTACGATTTGAAATACAGCAAAACTGCACAGATACTTATAACAAGATAAAAATTTACAACTCTTTTTCAATGCAATGCTGGATGACAACCACCGCACAAGGTGTTTGGCCGTACTTCTCCACGCTGGTCAGTGCAGATCGGTGTCGGTCGGAGATATCGCTCGTAACTGATACTAGCCGTGGCTGGCAAATTGAACGCGAGGTACCAGGTTCGCAGCACAGTGTCATAACCACTGTGCCACCATAACACTCCTCACTCATAATGAGTGGAATACATGAACTAAAAAACAAACTATTTTAATTTTACCGGGAAAGGCGCAAGGAGCAATATAGCTTTCTTTCAGAAGTGACCTGCCCACAAGTGATAGCTCAACGAAGTGGCTTATCATGTGGAGATTCATCGCAGCCAAATACTTCAAACGCATGATCATGAATGTGGAGGGAAAAACCGGAGGACCTAGAGTAAAATGCACGTGACCACGGGGAGAACATGCAAACTCCAAATATACAGGTGTCAGGGTCGGCACCGAACCCACGACCTCCTGAATAACAGGCGAGGTAGTTAACATCTCGCCACCGCGGTCCCCCATAAATACGTCAAATATTTAAGTTAAAATTAACATCGTGGCAAAAATCAAAGCCTTTCCCCACGTATATCAGCATAGAGCCATGCTCATCATTATTATAAATTTACATAACTACAATAATAAATAATTCCAACTTGGAACGCTCCGCACAGCGTTCGCTCGCTCTCGCAGAGAGAGGACGACTCTGGAGGCGCGAGGAGGAACCACAGATGAGCAGGAAGGCAGCCGCAGCAGTCACGCAGTGAGTCGGTGCCGACAACTGCCAAAGCTCTGCGGTCCTCTATATGTGAAGGT